CCCGTGGTGGCCATCCTTTTCAATCACTTCTGTCCAGTGGGAGGTCTAGGTTGGGTCCACAGCTATTTGGGCAGAGAGAGAGAGAGCTCCCTACTTTAACTCCTCCATCTGTTCTCAAACTTCAGTGAGTACAAGAATCACCTGCAGAGCTTGTTAACATGCAAAGTCCTGGACTCCACCCTACAGAGATTCAAGTTGTAGAACCTAGAAATCTACATCTTTAATCTTTATTAGAGTTTAAAATATATTTGTATTCTACTGCCATGCTGGCATCAATATACATATTTGGGGATGTTTAGCCATGTTTGTTCATTAGAATAAAGAAATACAACATTTGGTGAAAGCACTGTGAACTGCTGTTTAACTACAAATCTTAAGATTACCCTGTTTTAAAATTTCCTTTATTTCCTCAGATCTTTATGAACCATTTGACCTTTGCAGGTCATAGTGCTTTACAACAGATTAATGTGTTCTTTTCCCATCCCCTTAATACAAAAAAAAAAAAAAAAAAAAAGCAGTTATTTTCATCTGACATTTCACTAAATACAAGATTCATAATGTCAACATTATTCGATCAGTCATTCAAGTGGGTCCACACCAGTTTATCCTCATCATGCCAAATACCCACTCAGAAACTCAGTTGAATAGCAGATGCCTCCAGGTGTATATAACAACCTTTAGTCCTGTGAAGTGAATTAGTCCTGTGAACAGGTCAAACTGCTAGCCTACGCAAGTAAACTGGAAAAGACACAAGTGCGTAGCTGTACATATTAAATGGCAAGTTCGTGTCAACAGAACCTCTCTAACTAAACAGTTCTTTCTCCTCTATCATTGCAAAAGGCCCTCCAGAACAAAGCTGTAGTTTGGAATTTAAAAGAAATTTGATGAGATAAAATAACAAGTAGCTTTTCTGTAGCAAAAATTAATTACAACCATTTTTACTCAAGCAATTCTAAAGACAACATTGATAATAAATATGTACGCACACAGTAAACTAAGTCTATACTTAGAAATCCAGGTACAAAGCCAAGCAAAGCCAGGAACTGAAAGATAAATCAGAAATATAAACTAGCAGTGAAGCAATAATCTTTTCCAAACACCAGGAAACAAGTTCTTCAATCTCATTATTTAGATCATTATTTAGTGTTCACCTATTATTTTCAGAGGGTTTTGTTAAATCCCTTTGCTGTGACATCTGACCAGATATACCAACAAATACACTTTTAAGTCTACACCATGAAACACGTGACCAGTTAAAATTCCTGATGAACTGGGTTGAACTTAATGAATTTCTTACTTAAAATCCCTGTGGATATTCTGAAAGCTTTTAAAAATTAAGTTACATTCTTAAGCATTGTTAATCCACATTATTAATGAAAACTTAGTTGTTTACAAACAAGTATTTGTAAGCCTGAGTGTTGGAGTATTCTGCTTCAGGGTCTCAGCAAGGCTGTCTTGACTTGCTACTACATGACATCACCGCAGATTTCTGCATGTAGGTATAAGGAAAATGAGATTTTTCAGGTCTATATTACAACCCTTTGTTAAAAGAAAATGCCAAATATATATGCTAGTTATTAAATTTTATGAACTGAACATGGAACGTGGAAGAAACAAAATGATTTTGAGCTAAGCATACTTTTTGGGAATGAATGGCACATGTTAAAACATGACACACTTTATCACTCATAATCAGAAACTTCAATTTCCTGCCTAAAGCTGACTTGAAAAATGACACAACGTCTACAATGGTTTTTTAGGACTGTACGATAACATTTTAAAAGCCTATATAAACCTTTGAAAGTACTTACACATTTTACATTCGAAACTAACCTATGGAGTCCCTTTCCTTCCATATAAAATAGTCCTCACGTATTTTATGGTTGCTTCTTCAGTTTTGGTTTTTTTTTTTTTTTTAGTAATTTATACCATCAAGGAGATAGAACAGGATTCTTTTTCTGTCTTGGATGCTTTTAAGATCTTAAAATTATTTATTAAATACTTGTTCTTAATATGAAACTCTTCCAACATAGCTTTTGACTAGTAGAGAAATATCCCATAGGCACTGTGAGGTGCATTACCAATGGAGCAGGAAGCCAGGCCAAAGTGTACAATTTGATCATAACTATCAACAATTAGAAGGTATCTTACCTGCAGACAGCAAGAAACACCTTTATCCCACTACTCCTGAGATTCTTGTCTTAAGAAGGAAAACTAATGTCACAGACAATCTTTAAAAGAATCCATATAGGTCATTCTAAGAACTACATCTATAGGGTATTTAAAAAAAATTTTTCTTTTGTAAGGCATCAATTATAAAGGAATAGAATGCAATCTAATATAAGATGGTAACACTCGGTATCATAAAGCCATTTATCTTTTAAAACACTCTAATCCCTGCTACTTTCACCAGCTTAAATAAGAAAAGAAGGCCTCTTGGCCTCATCAACTATGGTTATAAAAAAAACTAAGATATCTGAAACTACTAGGCACATCAAAGGTACAGTTTATGTAGTTCAAGGTTCCCTTCTTAAGGGGCAGATGAATTACCTGGCACATCATACATATGGAACTGTAAATATCATCCACTAAATTCAACTTTCACATTTTTAGTTAAGCTGAAAGACTTATAGTAAATATTCAAACATACCATATCTTCAGTTACAGCTAAGTGTAACATTTTACCAGATAAAAAGCTGGAGTTTAAGTATGAGAAACCTTCATACACTGTGCTAGTATTGGTCTCTTCTTTTTAGACAAAGCCAGTCAATACTTTCAACACAGCAGTTTAGAAGATAAGCGTCCAAAATAGGTGACTTGGTTGTAGTCCATAATTTAGCAATTCAATGCCACTGGCATTATAATGCTGTGGAGATCAAGTTATCTCCATATTTTAGTCCGATTTGTCTTTTTTCTTTCCTGTTAAGGGCACTTTGTTTACAACAGCAGACCCAACAGCTGTAACACCTCCAGCCACAGCAGACACGCCCCCTTTCACCAGCCCTATTCCCATGGAAGGTACAGTTGTAACAGCTGTTTTGGTCACCTCCAGACTCTTTCCACCAATCCAAGCCACACCACCAATGGTGGCACCAACGGCTCCCTTTGTAACACTGAAGATACCCCCAGTCACACGGGACAGCATGCCTGGCTGCTGCTGTGGGTGATCTTTCATTGAACCTAATGAAAGAAAATATGAGATAGTCAAATGCAAGTCTTTAAAGGGGTACTACAAAAAAAAACAAAAAATCTTTAAAAAACAGAAAGACCACTAAAAATCACTAAGTAACCTGACTTCCTAAAAATCAGGAGGTTGGTTTTTTATGAATGGTCACAGAAATACAGATGAACAGCTTTAGCATCTATTAGAAAAAATGTTTTAAAGACAAATTTCATAAAACAGAATCCTATTTTAAATGTTTTGTTTCCTTGATGTACAGTTCTGTAGTTAATAAAATCCACCTTTATATTATATCCTCAATAGAGCATGAACCCATTAGCTATTATCAGGAAACAGAAAATAACAAGTGTTGGCAAGGATGTAGAGAGACTAGAACCCTCAACCACTGCTGGTGGGATAGTAAAATGGTGGGGGGAAAAAGTTAAAAATTAATAAGCATACAATAAACTAAAGGTTATACTTAGAAATTCAGTTACAAAGCCAAGCAAAGCCTGAAACTGTAAAAGATAAATTAGAAATATAAACTAGCAGTGAAGCAATAATCTCTTCCAACAGCAGGAAACAAGTTCTCTAATCCCATTATTTAGATCATTATTTGGTGTTCACCTATTATTTTTTGAGTTTTTAAAATCTCCTTTGCTAACTGTGGCACCTGACCAGCTATACCAACAAATATACTTTAAGTCATACACCATGAAACATATGACCAATTAATTCCTGATGAACTAGGTTGAGTTTAATGAATTTCTTACTTAAAATCTCTGCAGGTATTCTGAAAGTTTTAAAAAATTAAGTTATACTCCTAGGCATTTGTTGGTCCACATTATTAATGAAAAACTCTTAGTTGCTTACAAACATTTAAGCCTCCAGTGTTAGAGTGATCTGCTTCAGGGTCTCAGGAAAGCTGTCTTAACTTATTACTGCATGACATCACTACTGCCCTCCTGAAATGGAGGCAAATTTGGTGGTTCCTCAAAAGGTTAAACATAATTACCATATCAACCACCCAGCAATTTCACTCCTACTATATACCCCAAAGACAGGAAAGCAAGGACTCAAAAGGGTGTCTGTACATCAGTATTCATTGCAGTCTTATTCACAAAAGCCAAAAGGTGGATACAAGTGTCCAAAAGATGAATTTATAAATGTGGCATAAACATACAATGGAATATTATTCAGCCAGAAGAGAAATGAAGCTCTGATACATGCTACAACATGGATGAACCTTGGAAACATGCTGAGTGAAGTAGTTTGGACACAAAAGGACAAATATTTTATGATCCAACTTGTATGAGATATCCAGGGATGGGTAGGAGGGGCAGATGGGGAGATCTTGATTTTAAGGGGTACAGAGCTTCTGTTCAGGATGATTTAAAAATCTGGGTAGCAGTAATGATTGTACAACACGGGAAACAATGTCACTGAATTGTACACAAAAAGTAGTTGAAATGGCAAATGTGGTGTTACATATATTTCAACACAATTTTTTTAAAAAAGGAAGTAATAAGTAGGTAAATATATTCATCAGTCATCTCCGTGATAAGATCCAATCAATCATTACTGAAATAATTCTCTTCAGTTAAAGCAATGAATGGTCCTCAAGGTGCAGTCTGGGGCCTCTGGGAATCTGAGACCATTTCAAGGGTTCCATGAGGTAAAATTTATTTCTATATTATTATTAAGATGTCATTTTGCCTTTTCAATTTCATTCTGTCAGCATTACCTTTTTAAATACATCACTAAAGGGCACATATAGGAGAAACCCAAATATTTAAATCAATGGTTCTCAAACCTGGTCTCTTATACAGTCTCAAAAATTGATGACCTCAGAGATTATGTGTCTTTGTGGTTATATTGGTATTTCCTGCATTAGCAAAAATAAATTTACATATTTTATTTACTTTAAAAATTCAATAAACCCACTACAATTAACATGACAATATATTTTTATCAAAAGTAACTATTAGAAAGTTGTAAGAATGACATTGTTTTTACATTTCTGCAAAATCTCTTCAATGTTTGACTAAAAACTAGATCTTGTAGCTGCTTCTGCATTCATTTGGTTCTGTTACCATACGTCATGTAGCTGTTGGACAAGTCTTCGGTACATTCATAAGTGAAAACAGGAAAATTATTCACCATTAAAATCATATCACCTCTTGAAATTAACTGTACTTAGATGTAAGTAACTACTGGCAAACTATAGCTATGGCTAATAACTAATTCACTGCCTCAGTAATTCTTAGTGAACAGAGTCTGCTTTAAGCATGTTTAAAAAAAAAAAAAAAACAACTCCATAGATATCCTGCAGAAAAGTTAACATCAATATAAAAATTTCAGATTTTTCTAAGTCATTGAGTCTCTTCTCTTTTCTTTGGTTTATTTGTTTGGGAGTTTTGTTGTGTTTGTTTGTTTCTTCTCTTTTTTTAAATAGAGGCACTCAAACTGGCATATAACCTCAAACCCAAGCACAAAACAAATGGCAATAAGATTTCCTAAAAAATTTGCTTGTGAGATGAAAACAACCTACGTGCCCATCAAGAGAAGAATGGATAACCAAACTGGTACATACACAGAGCGGAATACTACACAACACTAAAGAATAGTGTAGAATCTGCAAAACACGGGATAATGTGAATGAACTTGGAGGACATTATGCTGAGTGAAATAAGTCTATCACAGAAGGGCAAATATTGTGTTAGTTCACTACTGTAAAAAGGAAAGGTTTAGTTATGGAAGAAAAAAAAATTGCTTGTGCCTGTCTCAAATGAGCACACGCCTTTTCTCCCTTTATAACATAATGACTTGGGCATCAGCAACTGAGCAATGCTAGTTTTCAGTTTCTAAACTTCATCGGAAAATACTTGGTAACTATACAATTCAGGTTTAACTACTGAAAAAGTACAGTCTCACATGAAGAAAGATAAGTTCTTGGGCACAGAGGTCCAACTAAAATCACTGAAGTTACTAGATCCTACCAGAAGTATGTTACCAGAGATGGTAACACTGGGAAACTGACATGTGATTATCCTGTCAATATATGACTATTCTATACTAAGGGAAAAAAATTCTGAAAATTCAACTTTTCTAAGATACAAGGCACAAATCTACCCTGAGATAGTTTTTCTTTTCAAAGTTTGGAGATTTACACACTATCACAATTAGAAAAATGTGTGTGTGTATGTGTACACACAGAATGCACAAGCGTGCAAGGGGCTAAATTTATAAAAACAAATTATTTTCCTTATTAAAATTATTTGAGTAATAATCATAGTTAATATAAATCTTAAAATGAAAATGGCTGAGGAGGTATTACAAAAGATATATATGAACATTTGAATATATTACAAAATTATGATAAAAAGGATTATGTAATTGGTAATTCTTTTGTAATAAAGGTCAGTGGCACTAGGAAAGGGGGGAAGGAATTCTGATTTAAGAATAAAAGAGGTAACTTCCTCATACTGAATACCTTATAAGTAAAATTATTTTGTCGTTCTGAATTGTGTATATACATTTAATGATGACAAGCAACTATTCCTAATTAAAGCAGATAAATATTACTGGTATTGATATTTTAAATGATAGCATACTGTACCAAACCTGGGAACTCTGGTGGTATAGTGCCTAAGGCATCTGACTGCTAACCAGAAGGCTGGTGGTTCAAACCCACCAGCCACTCCTCGGAAGGAAGGCTGGGCAATCTACTTCTGTAGTGATAACGACTCAGAAAGCCAAGGAGGGTGTGATAGTTAAATATGTATGTCAACTTGGCTGGGCCTGGTTGAGTGGCTGGGCAGCTGGTGGTAGTTATTCCCCATGATGAGACTGGCAATCAACTCCAT